CCCAATGAATGAAGTATTTTTAAAGAAATTATTCTATTTACATAACAACCGCCAAAAATAGCGCATTGCCCCTTTAAATTCACACTCTTGACCTATTAGGTCACAGCAACACAGCTTCAGCAACACAATTTCTAATCAATTGCCCAAAATGAGGATGCATGAATATATGTTCAAACAAATCCATGATTATAGAGGATCAAATATCTTAACCATAATATATCTTACCTATCAGCCGTAGGAGGATATTGTTGATGTATTTTATGTATACAATATATAAAGTTATCAGGTTTTGATAACTGTAAAGATGAGATATTGTTGATAATATAGGTATGGAATTCTCCTTCAGTCTCTTGCTCTTTAACTTCCAGATATTTCAATATCATTCCTACAACTTCCCCTGTAGCTGTATAGACAGGTTTTGATTTATCACACATTAAAAATGCTACTGTTGTGAAAAACCTAAAAATAAATAAGACTTTAATAATGATGTACATGTACAGTCTGGACCATAAGGTGGAAATTCACAGGTTACACTTACTTGTGACTATCTACAGGACAGTCTGGACCATGGGGTGGAAATTTACGGGTTATAACTTACTTGTGTCTATCTACAGGACAGTCTGGACCATAAGGTGGAAATTCACAGGTTACACTTACTTGTGTCTATCTACAGGACAGTCTGGACCATGGGGTGGAAATTTACAGGTTATAACTTACTTGTAACTATCTACAGGACAGTCTGTACCATAGGGTGGAAATTCACAGGTTACACTTACTTGTGTCTATCTACAGGACAGTCTGGACCATGGGGTGGAAATTTACGGGTTATAACTTACTTGTGTCTATCTACAGGACAGTCTGGACCATAAGGTGGAAATTCACAGGTTACAACTTACTTGTGTCTATCTACAGGACAGTCTGGACCATAGGGTGGAAATTTACAGGTTATAACTTACTTGTGTCTATCTAGAGGACAGTCTGGACCATAGGGTGGAAATTTACAGGTTATAACTTACTTGTGTCTATCTACAGGACAGTCTGTACCATAGGGTGGAAATTTACAGGTTATAACTTACTTGTGTCTATCTACAGGACAGTCTGTACCATAGGGTGGAAA